TTAATTAATTAAAAACTGCAGAGTTGGGTGTGGAGGGTGGCGGCTCAGGGCGAGGCCCAGCAGTGAGGGCAGGAGCTGGGCTGGCAGCTTCGCGCCCTCTGTCCCCCCTTTCCTGAATTTCCTCTCCCACTGCTCCTTTCAGCCTGGCGGTCAGGTAATGTGAGAAAGGAAGGCGACTCACAGGCTACCCGGGAAAGCCCCTTGCAAACCTGGGTTTCCACGGGGATTCCCTGCACAGAGGAAGCTAAAGAAAAAACAACTGAATCTTTGGTCTCGGTCGCCATCTCGTGGTCGAAATGCCACATCACATCCTCGAAGCACCACCTCTGCTCCTGCGTCAGAACAGAGGGCTCAGGTGTAAGATTCTTTCTGGACTTTTCCCGACTGGAATTTTCCAACATCGTGACGGGGTCCCTCGCTTCGACATGAAACACCATCCTCTTTCAGCTCAGCCCTGGTTTTTCGAGGTTTATTAGACGAGGTCTTTCTGACCCCAAAACCCCACCCAGGAGGACCTGTGGCTGCTTCTCCCGCCTTACCTCCGCCTCCCACAGCACACACGGGGGCCCAACCCTAGGGGTGTGGGGCTAAAACACACTCATATATATGTTAATACTTTTCCACCCCGTCCCAAGTTCTTCTGGCATGGCTAATAAACTATTAACAGGAGAAAAATCACGGTTAGATGCATGAGCGTGGGAATTCACATGGGCATGAGAACTCCGAAGGCAGGGAGGCATCACTGGGTACATGAGACATGTTTGCCCTAGCCTGTTGCTCAGTGGTTAGAGAGCCAACCCCCAGACTGAAAGGTCTAGGGTTCGGTTCTGGTCAAGGGCACAGGCCTCGGTTGCTGGTTCGATCCTCTCCCCCGTTGGGGCAGGTGTGGTAGGCAACCATTCGATGTGTCTCTCTCACATCGATGTTCCTCTCTCTATCTCCCTCTCTCTCTCTCTCACCCCTCCCCTGCTCTCTCCCTTCCAGTCTCTCTAAAAGCCAATGGAAAAACGTCCTCAGGTGAGGATTAACAAACAACAACTACGAAAAAACACTTAGAGGAGAAGGGGTGGATATTGGGTCCCAGAAGTGAGAAGGGCGGCGAGGGTGG